GATGTCACTTCTTTGTTTAAACCACACAAATTACAGCAATGCTCACATCAGACTAAGGTTATCAAGAACTATGGGAACAAATTTATCCCAGGATAGTTTACCACTTTGAAAACACAAGCTATCTTCCATCTCTACTTTTCTAATCATGAGTGAAATGTTTATGGAAAAAACTGTACTTTAAAATTTCTTGTAGCTATATTCTAATCAACAAATCTTTAGACATTCTTGATACTTTAGTCACTCTGATGCACATAAAACTTTACAGAGCAATTTGATGTGGACTAAATATCTCTTTTCCAGATGACTTTAAAAGTGAAAGTACCTCCGGTCATATAGACCCAAATCCCTCAATCATTTTCAGTAGACTGTATCAGCCTCATTAACAGTTATATCTTCCAATCAGGTTGAATGAAGAAGATTCTATAGCCTGGGACTGGATGCCTTCAGCTTGATAAGAACAATCATGTTCGGACTTATCATATGCAACTCACCTCCTGCCTCTGGGACCCCACAAGGAGTTCACAATTGGAAGAATATTTGAAAAAGAGATGGAGGAAATGAAAATCTAAAAAGCAGACGTGACCTCTTCTATTAACCTGAACATTGATGGAGTCTATGCAGACACTCAACATCACTTGAGTCTTGTGGTCACTACACTAAGGCTATTGCTTTCATCCTGCACTACAGTATTACTTCTATATCATAAACGTTCATCAAGCTCACTTATTACACTTCTTCTCCCTAGTTCTTTGAGAAAACTAATGTCTTGATTTGTTTTTTGAAGCTCCTAGAAGAAAACAACGACACAAAGAAACAAAAATATTGTCACCTCACCCTGGTCTATTGAACACAGAAATCCTAGAAGATAGTCTGTAATTTTCTTACCTAGCCAGTTAGAAGTTTAAAGCAGGGAGAAAATTCCGGAAAGGGGGCTATCTTTTCCTCAATACGTAAGCACTTTAACTGGGTTCCTCAAAAAGATGGAAAAAAATTCAAACCATTTGAAATTGCTCAAGTATTTGCATTGTAACGATCCCAGTGAGCAGAAGCCAGAGACGAGGAAACACCGTTCACTGGGAGCAGAGCATAGTGAGCACTGTGCTAGCTGCCTTCATGTGCATTACCTCATCTGACCTTCCCAGGGGCCCGTGGACATTACCTACACAATGACACTAACTCCATTTCACAATTCAGGGACCAGATTTTCTGAATATTTGCATAATTTTTCCCAAGATGACATACTTGGTGATTTAGAGTGCTGACATT